ACCACCACCACCACCACCACCACCACCACCACAACCACCACAACCACCACAACCACCACCACCACCACAACCACCACCACCACCACCACCACCACCACCACCACCACCACCACCACCACCACCGCGCAACCAACATCAAAAGCACCAACACCAGCAACACCTCCACAATGACAACTTCAACTGAGACTACTGCTACTGTTGGGTTTTTATACTCTCCTTCCTACACCTACTCCAACTACCACTATCTCAACCAAAAGCCCCTATCCACTGAGGCGTGGACGTTGCCAGTGATGGTGGTCGGGTCGTCAACAACGATGGGCATTGTGACTTCCACGTTGTTGAAGACTGCTCCCTAAGAGGGTCAGCATAACAAGAGTATGGTTGATTCTCACTGACCATCATGGTGGAGAGGACAAGGACTAGCAGTAGTTGTTGCAGTCGATACGGTTCTGGGAAGGGACTGAAGATAAGGAGAGCAGGCAGGAAGAGGAGAAAAGGAAAACGCAGCTTCCAGTTTTCGGCCGGCAATAGAGCGTCATTCTGCAAAGGCGGGTATCTTTAGGATCCTAAGCATACATTCGGCTTTTGATAGGGTCATGGGAGCCCGTCTAACCATTTTACGACCCTTTGAGAAACAGGACACCCTCCGAAGCCCCCACAAGTAAGGACCAGCACGACAAAACTCCCTAAACAGGTCCGTAACTCCATAACCTCAGACCTCGACAGCAGCTGCTGCTGCTTCTGGAGGCTAAGCTCTCAGGCAAACTGTTCCACTGAAGCTGAGGCCCCCACAGCTACCTTGGCTTCTCGGGTGCAACGCAACGATTTTCAGCTGGGATGAGCCAGACAACAAACTGCTTGAAAAATGAAAAACCAGTTGAGAAACGGAAAAAATAAACTCAACCCAGACAGCCTGAGCTCTCCTCTACGAGAAATACTGCTAGAGTTAGTGATGGAAACATGTAAGTTGTGTCTAAACTCCTAGTATCCCCTTTTATAACCCGTAGAATAGTCCCGTACATGAATCCCCTATATAAACACCTCTAAGAGTTTAGACCACCCCCTTTAAGGACTTTAGATTAGGGCTCATGTGCATATGCGTCCAAAACCTGCCGAGCTTAGACTGTCCCCGGCTTCTAGAAGCTTCTGCGCATTCATGTTGGGTACTGCCCGCACCGTGTTCCAGTTTACATTCGGGATCATATTCAGGGCTGTATATAAGGTTTAGGGTCTATATTGGGGGTCATATTCCGGGCTATATATAACTGAGTCATAAATATTATCCAACTGTTACGGAGTGGGGGCAGTACCCAACACGCACACATGACCCAGACATCCTGCGATCCTGTCTGTGTTTGCTGACTTGGCATAGACAAGAAAGGTGGAAACTGCCTCTCTTTCTCTTCCGGCCCAAGCTTCTAGGCTTCTTGGGCAAACCTTACTGCAACTCTGAAGTTTAGCCAAGTGTGCCGTGGTGGTCGTTGTCACACCTTGCAGCTGCGGAAAGTATTGCCAACAAATGCCAACGCGGCCGATAAACTCTGAAGTAGGGCTGTTACGCAAGCAGAGCTCCCTATGGTGACTTGCTCTTGAGGGTGCGGGCACTTCTGTGGCAATCAAAGAGGCATGCTTACAAGTTTGTTGCCTTGGACAAAGGCTTGGCATGGAGTGGATTCAGAGTCCAAAAACAAGCTCACTTGGAAGCTTCCTAACTTGAAGGCTCCCCGTTTGAGAGTCCATAAGATCCGCATGAATAGTATTCGGGATGTGTAGGGAGAACTCCGTTTTGGAACTGGCATGTTCCATTTTGCTCCCAGTGGTCCTCGGCACAATCTATGCTGAAATGTCCGAAACAGCGAGACCTCAAAAACCAGAGGAATATGACCGGATATCGATGTTGTTCGTAAACTTTATTCTTGTCAAGAAACGGGCATGCTCAGGATTCACGCGCTTCCCAAGAAATCCCAAGAACAAGTGCGCCTCAATCCTACTACCAAGACTCAATGAAGCATCCTAGCTGCACACCCAGAAGACACCTGGCGACTACGCAGTTGAGTGCGGCACTCTTGGGATCCAGCATGCAAACTCCGGACTCGAACATGGGCCTGATGCCAGCAGGGTCGCATTGGAAGTAGGCAATGAGTAGCTGCAAGGCTTCATGCTCAGAGGCTTGGGTTACATCAGTACTGCATAACATGTGGCGCTCCCTTTAAGCTGCGTTGGCCTTCAAGGCCTTGCAAGTCAGTCTGTAGCAAAAAATCTTGATTGTCGGCTTATACCAGAAACCAAGCACTATCGTTGCTGATTTGGACTTGTGAGCCGTATGTAGTCGTAGAACGACTATCAGATTGCCATTGCCATTCATTGTTCAACTCCTTTTGTTCTTCAGAGTATTACTATCATGACACTGAGGACTGTTCGAATACCATCTGTTGCTATTGCGGTACTACTCTACAAACTAGTAGTTACGTGTTCTTTTGTGACTTACAATTCTTACGGTCATTGTTATAATTTTCGTCAGCACGGTTGCGTGCCTACCTTTTAAACCCACCCACCTGCCTGCCTGCTATTCCATATCTTCGCCAGACACACAGAGCAATACTCATACAACTATAATTTGACGACCCATTCAGAAGTACAACCACACTTGGGCTATGCGCTTTGACCCCAAACCACTGCAGCCTAACAAAAGCCAATAAGGCCAAAGGTATCCAAACCCATCCATCCAACCATGACTCCACGTCAGCCACAGCTACACTCAAGAGCTTGAATGCGCCGCATTGGTCGGAGCGCAGTTAACGCAAGCCATGCACAATTGTCTCGCACGCTAGTCTGGTTTTCATCACGACAACTCGAACTGCCACAAAGACCGGAATCCAGCTGCTTCACTTGCATGTTGTCGTACCGGCCACGAGCATGAAACACACAGCCACATAAAACGACTTTGCAAAAGAGCTTTCAGACCTATGAGAGCACACACACTGAACATGCATGAGTCCAGCTATGATGCAGCAGAAAATACTACTGCACTCCCTCTTGCAGGTCTGTTACACTTAAAGGCTTAGGCACGTCCGAACCGTTGGATCCACATTGGTCAATGGGAACGAGTCATCACTGTCGGAATGACAATTCATAGTTGTGCATCCGTTTGCCGAGCCATTATAGGGAAACGTCCCTACATCCGTGAACCTTCAGTCATTAGCGGGAGCAGATGGAAAATGTCACAACAGCAACCTTTTGTAATGATAGACATCCATTCGCTTGTCAAAGCAGCAACAACAGCGGTTGAAAAGCAGGAAAAGCAGGAGGAAACAGATCGGAAGTAATACACAGCAACTCCCAACACAAGCCTATCGCCCCATACACCCCTACATGTTCCTACACGTTTCCCCGTGTATCCCAATATCCTCACATATCCCTTAACAAATAAAACAGTTTCCATTCTAGTTTCCATTATGTATCCCAAGATAACCCCTATATAACCCCAATATCCCTAGGGGTACTCAGAACCAAGCCTTGCCTCCACATGCACGAGGTGTCCCCAATGCAGCCGGATGCGTTCTCGACCTTTTGATTGCCAGTCGCATGACTAACAGGAAACTCCTAAAGTATATTGAGGCTATCTGTGGATAATGGACAATAAAATGGAAACTACTATAGTATATTGGGGCTATGTGGCTTGGGTCTTGGAGTTTTGAGGCAAAGCAGGAACAGCTTCAAGCCTAGCCATACATCGTGAAAAGTGATGACTCCGCTGTGGCATTTCTGTTCCTTGAGTCCTGATGCATCAATGTAAGCTCCAGCATGTTGGAATGGAAAGCCTTGATTCCTGATCTTCCGTATTACAAATTAAAAAGACCAACATTTTAACGAGCAAATTCACACTGCTTTAACTTGAAGCGTTTCCTAGATGGGTTCGCACCAAAGTTGAGGACCCCCTTGGACCCTAAAGAACTATGTGAGTTGTAGTCTAAACTCCTAGAATCCCCCTTCATAACCCCCATAGAAGACCCCTGTGAAGTCCCCTATGTAACCCTCTTTTTAAGGAGTTTAGACTACGGCTCATGTGGAGTTTCTCAAACACATACCGGGGGTGTGACGGTGTGCTGAAGAGGGACCTTGTTGATCACCGGTGTATTCCCTGTACGTGCGCGGGGTTTAGGCTTAGGGTTTAGATCTTGTTGGGAGATCCTTTGACAGTATCTTCTTACTCGCAGCTGGACGTCACACCCCGCCGGAACTCGAAAAAGCCTGGTCAGAGCTTGCTGGAGGGGGGTAGATGGGCGGGGCTTAGTGAGGTTTGGGGTGTCGTTGGTAGCGTGTTCTCACAATACCTCTGCCTTGAAAGAAGAACAGTGGAGACTAGCAAGCTGAGACCTCAACAGATCGCGCTTAAGGTCATGTCCTACCCTGACTCTGCAAGTGTACGGCGTGACAGATGCCAAAAAAACACGAACTCCTTTGTTCGATGACCCAAATGATGCCAAGCGGCATAGTCAACAGCACACTTGGAGATGTTGCCAAGGGTCTCCAGGTACTCCTGCAAAAGCGCAGGCCCAACTCTGCGGGGATTATAAGGGAATACTGTCAGCAATGAAATAGGGAATACTCTCAGCAATGACTCAAGCTCCTACAACGATCACGCGGGTTTCCTGCTTCCTATGCAGCCAGGATCTCATTTTGAGCCGGAAAATCTTCATCCTTCCCGCACGACTACCCTCACATCCGAAAACCTGTACCATGGGGCAGAGATGACAAGCCTCATCCGTCAGTACACCATATGCGATACCGCTAGCTGGAATATTCTCAACAATCTTACCAAGTGGGAGAAGAAAATTGCGAATTGCAAGGCTCCTGCATCAACGCAAAGAGTTCAAGTGTTGCCGGATGGTGAGCAGAGTCCCTCAACCCTAAAACTGGCCTTCACACCGTAGACCCGAGACCCTAAAGCCAGCCTTAACACCGTAGAGGGTGGTGCTGCACTGGCGGTCATCCACCGGAGCCGGGTTCCAAAGGCTGGTCCAGGCTCTCCAACCGTAGCGAGTCTGCAAACAAGGGGTTTTGCGATTGACAAGAGACTTCCGCGGTTAAACAGGTTAGGGGCGTTTGAGGTTTCGGGTTAGGAGTTTCAAGCCCTGGGCTTGGGGGTTTGAGGGTCTGGGGCGTAGATCTTGATACTGGAGACTGGGGGTCCCTCTCCAGGATGTCCTCTGGGTTTTGCGGAGAAGCTCTGCATGGGCTTAGTACCGCCCATGACCACACCGGCAAAGTACCATATGATGCAGGCACCAAACCAGCAGCCAGAGTGCTGAGAAAGAGCCCTATAAAAACTTGTGGGCCCTGCTCTGCATGCAGGTCGAGGATCTGCTGGGAAAAGGAATCTTCTTCCCCAATTCGGATACACTGGCATCGACACTAAATGTGGAAGTCAGATCGCGGGCCTTGTCCTTTGGGATGAACTCATCGCTGACGTTGAACATGGGTGAGCTGATCTTCCATGCAATGTAGTCATCCTTAGAACTTTAAGATCAAGGCAAGCTTGAGGGCTTAGGCTCGGGAGTAGGCTAGGGTGCTTATGTGTTTCAGGTCAATTGAGGGTTTAGGGTTTAGGGCCTATGTATCGGGTGAAGAGCTTCGAGCTTGTGAGTCTTGGTCACGGATTAGGGGTCTAGGGTTTGGGCCGAAAGGCTTTCTAGACATTCGGCGATCTTCTGACTGAAGCACGGCATTGCGTGGATCTTACACACAGAGAGGCCTGCAAAACAGAGTGTTTAGGCTGTTGAGGTCTGAGAAGTTGACAGCCTGGGCCTCATGCTACAAGGGGCCCCAAACAGCGAGGAATGTGCCGTGAGACAAACCAAAAGAGCCGTATGACCCAGGATGGGAAGGATCATGTGCCAGGCATAACAGGAAGAACAACTGTGGCACCAGAATCATAATCCAACTAGCAGCTAGGGATTTGGTGATGATGATGTGATGGTATCAGCAAGTAACATTCATCTAGATAATGATGGGAAAAGGAATTGCGAGAAAGGAAAAGGAGGTAATACTAACCGACATGCTGCAGACCCAACTGCTTGCAGAAGGAAATCTCGGAGTCACCAACATAGCAAAGGAGCCCTAAACCCTAGACCCGAAACCCTAAACCCCTGAACCCCAACACCCACACCCTATAAACAGCACTCGCAGTCTTTCGGCATCCCCACCTCCTCCAAAACAAAGCCTTCAGAACTTGCTGCTGCCAGGATGCAGCGGTAGGGCCAAAGGAGAGCGTGCAGTTGCCTTGGACCAGTATTCCCATCTTACAATTGGCTTCCTGTAGAGACCCCAGCGGGGGTATGGTGGGAAATGGTCAAGGGTTACGAGATGAGCTTAGGGCTTTTTGAGGTTTGAAGCTAAGGTGTCTCCATAAAAGCTGAACTTCATAGTGAGGTAGCGCGCAATCGCGGAAAGCAAGTTGCGCAGGCCCTTGCTCAGCCGCTTGCAGGTTCAGCAACAGACAAATAACTAGCAGTCTGAATAGTGTTTGGGATGGAGACTATCTCCCCTGTGCGGGGTGTGCGGAGTTCGGTTTCAGTTCGGGGCACCCAGACCTTGTAACAATGGCTCAATCCAAATCCGCTCCTCCTCGAGCCTCATCAGCTGGAGTAAGAATCACGGGGTTTAGGGTTTAGGGTTACTATATTGGGGAAACCATATGAATTACTATATATACCCCATTACGGTAGCCTAATTTAAGACAACCAAATGTTCAAAAACAGTCTCCTTGACGAACCACCTCAAGCCTAAGCTGTAAGCTTCCCTGAGCTCCAAGAGTCCTGCCTATATAATCCCTACTACACTATAGTAGTTTCCATTTCCTTTTCCATTATCCCAACCCTAAACCCTAAACCTTATAGTAGTTTCCATTTCCTTCTCCATTCTCCCAACCCTAAACCCCAAACCCTAAACCCCATAGTATAATAGTTTACATTTCCTTTTCCATTCTCCCAACCCTAAACCCTAAACCCCATACTATAATAGTTTCCATTTCCTTTTCCATTCTCCCAATATAACCCTGTGCTAATCCTGCAAAGCCGCTGTAGCCCTTGCCCTGGGTGGCAGTGTCCCAGGCCTTGCAGAATTCCAGCGCATCTGCCTTTGCTGGGAGTCGGATATGTCTCACTTGGGAGGTTACAATTTGTATGCATTCTTCACACAGACAGTGTGTAGGCTAGGTCAAATATGATCGCAGGCACTTCAAGTATGGGTGAAAATCTGGGCAGAACAATGAAATTTCTACGTCTGATAGCTACCGGAGGGACTCCAACTGAAGCAAACTTGATGCCTTCACCAAAGAGAGGCTCAAGGTTCACAGGTGTCTACGAACAGTCTTCTAAGTACCAAAAACAAGCTCACAGTTCCGGCTACCCAGGGTATGCAAAGATGCGGCATGCCTGACACCCTCAAGAATCTTATATCAGACTATAACATATGTATATGTATATACTATGATTACTATGATATATACATGTTGTGGAAACTTGAATGGAAGTTGGGATGATGTGGGGTGGTTGAAGGTTTTAGGGTTTCCAAAATCAGGCCTCCTTTTCGGGGGAGTCCGAGTGTCCATATTTGGTGCCCTTAATCTTTGGAAACCCCAGCTTCATTTCTGGTAGCGGTAGTGGGACAGGAGACAGGATCCTCCCTAAAGCTTGCCCCCGGCTCGTTTCCCTGCCAACCCTCCGTCATGCTGTGGCCGACATCGCATAGACCCCAACGTCTATACCCCAAACTCAAATTCCAGAACCCAAAACCCCAAACCCTCAACCCTAAACCCTAGGCCCTAAACCCTAAACCCAAACCCAAACTTGCCGCAGTGTCACGGTCTTGTACAGCACCTCATACTTGTCATGGTGATAGTTCAAGCTAATGCTGAAGAGATCCTCTGCCTCGCATTGGCTTAGCCGTTTAGCACTGCTATTCCTATAGGGTTTAAGGGATTATATGTGGGCATAATATTGGGGTTATATTTATTTTGATTACTTTTACTGCTAGTATTATGATTAATTACTAGTCTGACAGGATGAACTTCATGATTCAGGACTTGAGAGTTTGTAGTTGCGCCCTTGCCGACTGAGTCGAAATTAGCCGGAACCAAAACCATGCTCCATCTTCATACTTCTGCTCCTGACAGATTTTGATGATGGCAGTGAGGTCTCCAATTGATGCCCTTTCTGGGCGTCCGTGCATGGGGTTGCTGTTAGCTTGGGGTACATAAGGCGGGACACCTGTTTCGGTAAGTGATACCCACTGGAGCGATGGGACTTCAACCTTACAACAGCGAATGGAAGAAGTGCCAGCGTTGACGCAAAATCAGAAGTTGCTCTGTAGGGTGCGGACAAACAAGATCTTCTCCGTTGTAGGGGCACAAGTAAGAACGCCTGTCTAGACAGAAGCCTAGAAGAAAGAAAACCGGTGCGAAACCCCAACAAAACATGCAGAACGTGACAGCCAGCTGAACCCTTTCCAAAGCTCCATTGTTGCAAGATCTGTCCCCTATAGGCACTTGAACTTTGGGGTCGTTATGGCTGCTGTGCATTCTAGGTGTATTCTGACGGGCACCTAGGATTTCTCAGAACAACGTCCCTGCCCGTCGAGCCTGCTCCATGGACGCCTTGCAATTGGGGCGCTCGCCGCAGTACCTGCAATTGAGCTTTGCAAGTCATATGAACACAAAAGTAACGGTAGAAGATGGCGGAAGGAGGAAGACGGGGTTGCTGCAAGGGAGACGGCGACAGAGCTGCTACACCACCACCGCCACCACCACCCAGTGTTGCGAATCAAGATGATGGCAACATGGGCACGTGCCAGAAACGATATGCATATTTGTAAAACTTTGGTGGATCTTTGGGTCATGCAGACTTGCTGGGCCCATACCAGAATGCCGGGATTGCCAGGACTGAGGACAACAATCTATGGCTTCCTGGTGTAGTCCCTGTGTCTGGGGTCTAGGTCTTTCTGGTGGTGCGGTCCGTGCCCATTTAAGGTTTTGGCTGCGCGGGCCACAGTAATGGCACGTGCGCATTCATTCATGCCAGGCAAAGTTTGCCAGGACTACGAATTCGAAAACAAGACGATGTGAACAACGTATCTGGGCGTAGCCCTTCCCTGACAATAAAGAAGAAGCGAAGCAAATCAAACAGGCTGCTCGAGTTTCAACCTGAAGGCATGTATAGGGTTTAGGGCATGTTCTGCTTGCCACCAAGCACTCAAGCATGAAGAAAGCCAAACCTGGGCAGGATCTACGAAACAAAGTATCCCCATGTGCCTGCGCATCAAAAATATGCTTTGTTCGAAGCCCCTAAACCCCTTGACCCTAAATAGTAGTTTCCAGCTTCTTTTCCATTATCCCTGTATAATCCTGAACTGCAGTTTCCATTTCCTTCTTCACTATCATTATTCCAACCCTAAACCCCAAACTCTAAACCCTGGACTATAGTAGTTCCCATGGTCTTTTCCATTATCCCTATTTTGAGAAGCCCACTTGGAGCCCTTCAAGACGTAGGGCAGCACAGGCTTGTCCATCCTTAGTAAGGGTCCATGACTTCTTGGGGCCCTTCCCTTCTGAGGTTGTGCCCCTGCAGGGGGGAAAGAATATGTAGTAGTATGTTATAGTATATTATAGTCGTCTATAATATATACTAGTACATTATAGTAGGGATACTTCTGTTAAAACAGGCCATTTTGGCACTTGAAGGTTTGGATGCTGCAGTTGGAGGACAATTGGAGGTGGGATTGGTTCCCCTGTCTGACAGTCAGAATTACTAAGTGAGCTGCGAGTCTGTGGCACTGTGGCAGATGTCAGAATCGACATGAAGTGTACATGGCAGTTCCTCAAAATAACTCCTTTTTTGAGCTACAGCCTAAACTCATGGTATCCCCCAGCCTGCGCCTACGAAGCCACGGTAGGCAAACTAGATGTAAGTTTCTGCCATACCTGCACATAGACCTTCCCAGACGTTCATGGAATCCAAAAATTTGGGGTTGCTGTTTGCCGCACTCTCAAATCCTTCCTACAGCTACTCTGGTACGGTGATCCTGGCAACTATCATAATTCTGTTTCTGCTGCTGCATTTCATGTCCTTCCGCTGCATCTGTTTGTAAGTCGCATTTAACTGACTCAGAACAACTGCTACAACCTACGAGCATGTCCATTTTCTTCGTGACCGCAGTGCCTTCATTGCAAGCCTGCCCAACTTCGATCTGGGAGTTGCTCAACACAAGCCCTACGTACTCTCGAAGAGTAACCCTAGTCCTGGGCCCCTTCCTTGTTGAGAAACTCCCATCATGCAAACATGCACGCCGCATAAATCCCCACATCAGAAATGGTCAGGGCCTCAGTTCGCTTAATACCAACTTACAGGCACATGGGGCTATAGTAGGGACTATAGCACTTTGGAGTCTATATTAGGGTCCCCCATTTTGGGAAACTACCACATCAACTTCAGTTTGTGGCACCCCGACCTGTGCCCCAAAAAAATGCGTCCAGAGCTGGAACATGATCCCAGCCCCTTCAAGCAATCGGTAAGCCAAGCCTTCCCGTTCTGATCCGACAACCCTGCGTGGTACTGAAAAAAGAAGACGGCACAGTAGCATTCAGCATGGAAACCGGAGAAGCGTTGAGGAAGTTCCTTGCACAAGTGTCTGAAGTTCAACAATTCAGCCAACCCATTCCCATTATGAAGGCCCTCGCGCTAACCAATCGAGAGAAGACACAAAGGGAATCGCATCACAAGATCGCCATACACAAAAAATGTACTCGAGCGGAAAGGCAAGTCGTGAAACATTCATCCCATTGTCCGATTCAACCATGCAAGGGGTCCTTCTGCTTCATTGCAAAGCCTTAAAGCCTAGCCAGGTGGCGTCTCCATCAGGACGCTCACAGGGGCCTTGACGATGTGGTAGTTGTCCGACAAAGCCTTGACAGCTTGAGATTGTACGTGTGCCAAGCAAGATGATCCAAAATCTCCCCCTTTGCTGCAAGCGGTACGCTCCATGTTTCTGTTACTGCCGCGCCATCTTGCAATCCCACTTCAGACACAACCATGTGACTCTATCGTTATCACGCCTATGTCAAGCACTCGGTCCCATCTCCGAAGCTAAAATGCTACTGAGGTACGAGTGAAGGAAACCTTGAGAAGACCCAGATACCTTCTGTATACCTTTTTTTAAGTATTGTGGGAACCGTTATATCCAAAACCATTATCAATCCTGGGCTGCTGCTTTAGCTTAGAGGTCCATGGATGATTTGCAATACTGTGAGCCATACGGTATGTACCACGCTTAGCAGCATGCGCAGAGTGCTCCGCTTCGCCGGGAGGAACCGTGTACCTATCCCTGAACCCCTAAATCCTCTTATAACTGCCATAGTAATAGTTAATAAGATTAATAATATGAATAGTAAGAAGATAAAGTCAAAAGTATTAGCGGTAATAAAATTAAAACAGTGAGAATAAGAACCCCCAAGTACCACCATGGCTGGGAGCGGCAGCTTCAGTCAATCGTACCATCCAGAATAGGAGAAAGGGAGGCTATAAATCAGAGTGGGTCTGGACATTTGATGCTTCCATTAGTTTTCCTAGAAAAAACCTCCAGAGAATATGAGGCTATGTAGCCTCAGACCTTAGAATCAGGGTTCCCATTTTGTTCTTCTCCCCTGGAGGAATAAAAAGGAATGAATGACTGGAGATCCTGAAACCTTGCAAGTGGCAGGGTCCCTCCTATCAGGACATCCAAAGATTCAAGGAATCTCTACATACCTATCATATCAATTATCCCATATTCTACCAGTGCCAAGATGAAATTCCACAGTGATCCTCTAACATAGATATGAGCTGTTGTCAAATCTCGTAACATGAGTCCTATTCGTGGTCCCTAAACACCCATGAGCATCATTCCAGCTTGCAATCATATCCGGAGGAAAGCCAGAGGCTCCTGCGCGCACACCGTGTTCAACAACGAACCCTCCAAGGCCCGCACAAACCACATGGTGTCGACCGTCTTGGCAACTTCACACAGGTGGTACATGGGCTCGTACATAGCCTGCGCTTGTCGATGGTACTTGTCATATAGGAGTGGGCCCCAGTATGGACCTAGAATATCACCATCCCCCCCGAGAGACCATCATACAGGTTCCAGCACCAACAACGCCATAACGATGCCTGTAGCAGCCAACGTCCTGTGTCACCTGCAAACCACAACTAGAAAACCCGCATCATACAAGATCTGAAAAATGCATGAACATTCATGGCTAGGACACTTCAGTCTAGTCTGGTCACGAGCAGGCCACAAGGCAGATTTTTCCATTGGAACTCAACTTATGACCATGCTCCATACGGGCACTTGAGTGTATCTGTGCTAGATCTGCTGGCCAGAAAGTCGCCATTTGCTTGCCAATGTTGAATTAGCCCTATGGCAAGCCTGAACGGAGTATGCATGTAGCGCTATGGGCCAACGCCTTTTCAGCAATATTCACACGCATCTCACCATGGTGCATCGGCGCTTTCCAACTCGACAGAGGGCCACAACTTCTTAATCAATAGTCTCATCGCTATGCTTGGACTCGGACCTTACCAACTCAGAGGCAACATCGGCTACGTCCACGTGCCTTCTGCATCTTCAGGGTGACGTTACCTTGGGATGCTTCCGACAGCTTCTGGGATCTCATGCCTAGAACTTCTGGGATGAGAACACCACACAGCGTTGCTACAAAAACCTGTAGACTGAACGGATTATCGTCTTGATGGTCTTGACAGTAGTGATGGCACCGTATCAGACCAGTCAAACTTGCGGAAGTCAAAAGGACTTGAACTGTGAGACGAAGGGTTGCCGCAATCCTGCGATCTCAACTACAGAGCTCAAAAACACAACAAAGCAGGCGCTCAATAAATGTGCTCAGCATTCCATAGCCTTTTTTATTTGGGGGTTTCCCAAAATTACGGGTACCCTTTTGCTACTATATTGGGGTCTATATTGGGGGTCCACCATTTTGGGAAATTACCATTTGAAGCTCTGGGTATCGGAAAGGCCTGGTCGATGTTATGCTCACAGAATTGATTTCTGTGGGTCTGCAGGTAAGCTAGGAATCAAGATCTCCTTATCTTCGCGTCATATACCAGGTGTCCGTCTTGGAGAGCATCAAAATTTCAAAGCAGCCCCTATGCCTGACTAGAGATCAAGGCGAAGAAGTCAAAGACCGGGTTTGAGACTGTTCAACAGTCTAGAGATTCGGGGTTCGAATACAGCATGGAGGGTATAGTTTTAAGGTTCCACCAAGATCAGTGCTGGAGCCATCAAGGATTGAGTGACAATTCATCTGGCCTTGATCCGAAGCGGCTTTTAACGCGGATCCCCTTGGGCCAAAAACTCCTAAGTTCAACATCCAGCTACGACTCTGGGAGCTTTAAGCGTTCAACCCCGAGATCCATGCACTCCAATCCTGCACAAATCGTGCTCATGCTTCACCATCACAGTTACTATTAGATGCACCACTGCTTCTCCAGCTTTCACAACGTCACGATATGATATTGCAGAACAACAATTTCTGCCGCCATCATGATTATGAGAATGTTCTTTGCAGTTGAGCTCGGATCAACTCACTGCATTTGCCTCCGCGAGGGATCCCATGCAGGGATTCATACTAAAGATCTTTCAGTCACAACAAGACTCCAAACAAGAAGAGGCTAGCATGACAAACCCTTAAGCGCCTACCAAACCCCCCACCACCCTAACCGGCCTAGACTACTGCCCTTCTCCAACCCCTTCCGTGTCAGCCCTGCCCCCGCCCTGCCCACCCACACCCCAAACCCCAAACCCTAACCAAACACTAAACTCTGAACCCCAAACCCTAAACTCTGAACCCCAAACCCTAAACTCCAAACCCTAAACTCTGAACCCCAAAACCTCTGAAACCAAACCCTCAGACTGGCAGCCCATGGGTGCAGGGATCATCTCCTCTGTCATGGGCGTGTCGAAGTAAGCCAGGCCCAGGATCTTCTTGAAGGGGTGGTTGGTCGGAATCTGCCAAGGTTTTTTTTGGTTTAGGGTTTAGGGTTTAGGGTTCAAGGTTTAGGGGCCAGGGTTAAGAGTCCTTTTTGCTGGTTTAGGGTTTAGGGTTTCCACAGCTATGTAGGGTTGTAGAAGAATAGAGTCGTTGTTTAGCATGCATGCTGGTACATTGGGGTCTAGGGGAAGAATTAAGACTAAAAGGGAGAAGAAAATGGAAAATTAAATGCAAACTGGTGTTCATATAGGGGGCATAATGTGGACCCCTGATTAATAACCACCTCCTTTTCCGGACCTCGGTATTAGGATCCCTATTATAATTAAGGGGAGGGGATTTATCATTCTACGTCTGGCTTATTGCGTAGTATAGTAGCAAGACTTCTGGCAGTCGCAACAGCAGCCATAATAAAGACTTACAATCTTGGAGATTCTTGCACTGCCAAAAAAAGCTCCCACCATTCCAAGCGCAGATGGTAACGATTAAAATAACAATGGCGCTGCAACAGTATGTTACTGAACCGGCAGGGATCATGGTCCAAGCCAAACTGCAGAAACTGGCAAAGCTGGGGGCCACACTGTCTCTTTCATGTGGCCCTGCATGTCGAAGTATGCCACGCCCAAAGTGACGTTGTCGTCCTCCATCATGCAGTCACGGCTGTGCAAGCCGTTGCTGTTGGTGGCAGTAGCTAGGAGAAGTAGTAATAGTAGTACTCCTCCTCCTGCTACTGCTACTACTGCTAGTACTGGTACTAATACCAGTCTTGGTACTTGAGCATTAACAATAACAGACGAAGACGTTCGGCCGCTGGCTACATTGAGGCTTGTTGGGGCTTTGAAAGCTTCATCCATGCTCGTACAAGCTCCGCGCTTACCTAGAACGGAAGAAAAACAAGACTCATTGGTCACGCTTTACTCCCCTGTAAACATGTCACATGCTCCAATTCATCGACGCTGTTTTGCAAGCCCAAGACATCTATAGCAAATCAAGACCCGGCCGGCAGGTTCATGAACAGGTTCTTGCTGGAGCCATGGCGGATGTACGTAGGGAACTCGAAGCTCGTGTTCAGGAGGGTGTTGGCCTCAAGAGGCTTCAGACAGGCTAAAGAATACAGGCCTTGAGCAAACGAAACTTGCATCCCTGTTCAATTATATAACAAATTTGACCAACAATCCAACAGGAAGACAGGATCTGAGTTCGGGACGTAGTTGCCCACCAGCATGGACATCGAGTTGTAGGTCATGTTGTTGCCCATGGCCGCCGTCCAACCAGGGGCAAACCTGAATTGGAACAGCTCACAGGCGAATAGTGAGACCGCAAGTCGTGAATGACCTGAATCGCACTTACAGCAGCAGGCACTGAATAAGTTGTGAAGACGCGAACAGCATAGCCCAAGTAGTAGCAAAGGCACCTGTCCTTTTAAAAATGGTGCCTAGTTCAGGCCCCTAAACCCTTAACCCTTGCCCCTAAATTCTAAACCCTAAACCCTAAATTCGAATCCCAATTTCAGGTTCCATGTTAGCTTGGGTGTCCTGTCCAAAGCTTCCCCGGTCTGAAGCCCCGATACCAGCTGTAGTCTGAACTAGGATTGAAGGTTTAGGGTTTCGGATTTAAGGTTTAGGGTTAGGATTTTGGGTTCAGGGTTTAGGGTTTAGGGTCTCAACTCCCAGTAGCCGCCCTTAATCATACAGAATCAAATGGAAAAGAAAATGGAAAATGTAGCGGAAACTGCTACATATAGGCTTATGTAGGGGTTATCTGCCTAAACTCCCATTGGGGTTATCTAGGGATTATATGAGAGTATATGGGTATTACATGAGGGCAATATAGGGATAATGGAAAAGAACATAGAAACTACTATCCCTAAACCCTAAACCCTAAACCCTAAACTCCTAGTATCCCCTTAATCACCCCTAGAATACTCCGTATATAATCCCCTATACAACCCTATTCAAGGAGTTTAGACTATAGCTCATATCAGGAGTTTCTATTAAAAAAAAAAAAAAAGGGGGTGGCTCTTCGGGATCTGGGTAGGGTTTGGGGTTTGGGTTCGAGGATTTGAGGTTTAGGGACTAGAAGCGATTTTTGGGGTCCCTACGAAGGATTATGAAGAAGAGATTCTGAGAAAGTCTCACATCCTGCCTTGTGGACAGCGTTCACTAAAAATGGTGGTTTCCCAAATTAGGGGTACCTACTATAATGGAGAATCAAATGGAAAAGAAAATGGAAAATGAAATGGAAACTGTGGTTATTTAGAGCTTTATTAGGATTAGGGCTTCCCAAAAATTAGGGGTACCTTTTTGGGGGCCCCTATAATAAGGATTATAGTATTTCGGGGTCTATATTGGGAACTACCAAATGGAGCTAAGAGACATCACTGCAACTGCAAAACCCATTTTCTCACTCATACTAGGGATTCCAGAACAACCTTTACCAGCCCAAAATGCTACAATAATTACTCACTATAGCAACTCTCCAAAGGGAAACCCCCGAATTCGAAATCTCAGAGCCTTACTCCCAACCCCTGAACCCCAAAATCCTAACCCCTTGAAAAACCCTAAACCCTGAAACCCCCCCCCGCAGAAGTTGCATAAAGAGCCTATGAGCCAAGTCTTAGTAAGCCCACTGTTGGCTGGGAAGCGTAGGATCTCCAGCCTGTGCCGCCATGGTAATCATGGCCTCAACTTACATTGGGGATACATTGGGGATACATTGGGGATACATTGGGGTTATATTGGGGTTATATTGGGGTTATATTGGGGTTATATTGGGATAAAGGAAAATAAAATGGAAACGAAAGGAGACTGGGGGAGTAAAAGTGCTACTGCGTTAGCATTCTGTCAACCCAGTATAGACATCATTGACTCCACCACTCCACCTGAATCACCAGTTAGGAGTTGCATGGTGCCAGCGCCGGCACAAGGTTCGCAGTGTGTGGCTGTTAAGGGAGAGACATCTTTGACGGGATGTTCCAGTCAGCCAGTACGGCGGATGAGTTTGGGGCGTAGGGTCGGAAAACACAGAGGGTAGGACATCTGCAAAGCCCCCCCCCAAATCAGAGCCAATTCACACTTCGCATTCCTACTTTTTGTGCCCTCGACTGACCGCTCTTTCAGTGTTTCGTTGTGTGGTTTTGATGTGGGCGCTTGTTGCTTGTCTTCTGCATGCCCCAAAATCCGAAATGAGAGGTGGCAATTGCTGCTCAAGGGTGGTCTCATTCGAAGATCATTACTTTGTTAGGTGAGGAGTACCCTGGGTGCATGATGTGAGTAAGAAATTGGCTCCCACAGTTTCTTACACGCATGTTTGGTTTGCGGCCATAACAGCGAACACTGCTATATGAAAGCCTGCCACGTCCAGCCACAAGACAAAGCCTGTACTATGGAACGCATCATGCAGGATGAAATTGGCAAGCACAGCCTCATTCTTCTTGCCAAGGATACGTATCATCAAGTACTGCTGCTGCTTTACTGCCCGCATCATTGTTGGGTGACAAGTCCTCGTTTGACCACACAAACTGCTAGTAAATGGCTCAGTCAAGATGCGAATGCCACGTCAAATGCCATTTCTTCCATCATGTTGGTCGTGCCCTGCGATGTAAAGGCGGTGTACAGGTACCTCGGCAACAGGCTTGCAAGCTCAAATCAGCAGCTGAATGTTGATCTTAAAGCTGAAATGCTTGGCAACTTAGACCAAGTCGCTGAGCACAACAAATTCAAGCACAAGGACGACAGCTCCGTATTCAAGAAATGCCTTAACAGCCTTGGCAAGAGGAGAAATATGGCAGTTTCCCAAAACAAGGGGGCACCAGTATAGACCCCAAAATACTACAATCCTTCTTCTGGGGACACCCAATAAGGCACCCATAATTTTGGGAAACCTCCATATCCCTCCTCCTCCTCTGGTTATTGAACGACAAACATGTTTCATGCAAACAGGGTACTCCGTCCAGTTGTTCTTCAGATTGTAGATGGCATTGCCATTGATGTGCTCCACCAGGTAATCCGGCATCATGTGCTTGAAGAGGTCCCACTTGTCGCCTGCGTGTGCTACCCGGCAGGATTACGGAAAAAAATGGAATTGCCACGGTATCCACTCAACGGGTACACTCAAGCAATATGGAAATGGTATTACCAACTATCACCATCATGTCGGCGCGCAGCAGCAGCCCGAATGTTGCTCTAAAGTCTGGAGGCTTCAAAACTGAATCCTGCAACACTGATAGCCACGACTGCGCAAATCCACCATTCCCTTTCGTAGTGCAAGTCACTGCCAATAACCTGGTCGTAATTGCGGCGGTTTCTGGCCGGGGGTCTTATACCCACTTGAACAGTCAGCAGACAGAAACTCACTGAGACCACATATTTAGGGGATGGGATGACGGTGCCCGGAAACCACCTTTGGAAATCCATCTGGGCAACCTTCTAACCAATTCTGCAGCATTCGGTTCAGGACCTGAAGTGGGCCAGGAACTACTTAAAACTTGTCCCTCCTGGGCTTCACAATGAAGATAAGAATGGTACGGTCGCCAGACGGAATTCCCCAAGACTTTAGACCCAAAGCCAAGAGACCTCCAGCTCTAGACCCAGAGGCCTGGACTCTGGTTTAGGGTTTAGGGTTTGGGGTTTAGGGTTTAGGGTTTAGGGTCGGGGGTCTGAGGACTACATGCGAAGCCCTTGGAACCTACAATTTGAAGATTCCAAAAGGTCAACGTCTGCTGGTAGGGATGTTCTACTATAATCTGGGGTGATAGGAGGGACGCCCGAATTATCCGGAACCCCCATTTCTTCTCCATCCAGCTTTCGACCCAGTGACCCAGGTACTGGCTGCCGCGCACAGCCATGTTTTGGGCGGGCATCTCATGGGCCTCTGCCACAATACTTGGGGTTCGGATCAAAATGGAGTTTGCAAGGAAAGTTGCCAAGTATTAGTTGAGAATTCATGGGCTGAAGCGCTGGAAGTTATAGCTCTAGATTTTAGAGGTTAGGTTGGGGGCTTGGGTTTGAAGGTTCGAGTACTTTGTAAATGTAGTCCCGTGTGTATGCTTTGAAGAAGCACCCTGTAGACTTCTTCCCGTGCACCCACACTGCCCACACTCAGATCCGCGAAAATGATGCGAACAATGGATTCTTGAGTTCAAGGTTTTGGGTAACCATTTGTGTGAGGGTTTGGGCATTTCCTGTGCGCTGATGCTCCGTGGCCTAATTGAAGGTTCGAAACAATCTGCGTGTGCTGGAAGGATCCCCTTCCGTGGATGCAAATGCATACCTTACGTTTGGCCAATGTCCAGGTGAAACGCCTGCAGAACCTGCAAGCATGGAAGTTGCATGCCTCCATCTCAAACTGGTCGAGCCAGTACTGCTTGATGGGGACAGCATCCATCTCCTGCATGACAACCCTGAAAGGAGCAATGTGTTTCGGTTTCAACTGCAGAGGGCTTCGCTGACCGCACGTTGGAAACGCTGGAACTTCTTCAGACTGCCATCAAGTTCATCGGTAATACCTTGGGTACTGCCCCCACTCAGTATCCGTCGGATAATACTATAAGATGAAGTGTGTGTGTGTGTATACATATATCGATTTATATTACTACGCTTACAGATTACAGACTGTTGCTGGGTGGGGGCAGTACCCAAGTAATACCCCGACCCCACTACTGGTTTCGTTTGGTTCACGGCCTTCTTCCTGAGTGGGAACCTCAGCTGAGGGCAGGCCTGATCCTGAAATCCAGCAAGGGCCCATACCGAAGGTCTCACTAACCTCCTCCCCCTGATATGAAATATACAATATTCAATATACTATGATATAAAATGTAACATAATAGAAGATAATATAATATACAACAATGAGGGCATTCAACACTACGGGGTGCGGGGTTTACTACTTGGGGGAGGGGATTACCCACGAGAAAGGCTAAAGAACTCCAGCCAAGTTACTGGCATATTCCCTCCAAAGTAAGTGGCTGCAAAGAACCAGTGTGCACGAAAGACAAACATTCTTACAGATCGATGCTGCTAGGGCTGGTTTCAGAAGTCAGCGCCTGGGGCCCTGGTCAGAATGCGTGAACTGGAAATCTGTCACACAAGGCAGCTTGATAGAGGCAAAGCTAAACAAAATCTTCAAGAGACTCTGCTGCTCTATGAACTCAACACGCTCAGGGCATGCAGCACAGTTCGGCCTTTCCACACCTTCGACTCTGTGCCACCTGTCTCGAAGCGAGACCTACACCTGGATCTTCATCCCAAAAACTCCTCGGAACGATAAAAAGCTTCTGACTCACACCTCCCTTCCCGGTGTCCATGAGGAAGAACGAGTCGTACATGCCCTTGTAGGGACCCATGTACATAGCATCCATAATACTCTTGAAGACGGTATTGGGACCTCAGCACACGGAATGGCCAAAATCTTTTAGCGCTACAAACCCTGCTTGTACAGGGTTTAATACCCTTGTGGTCTGAGCTTATATGGATGGTTGTTCAAATTATGGTCCCTTTTTGGATACCCTACATATTAGGTGCCGCATTATAATGAGGATCCAAAAACGGACCATAATTTTCATATGCCTCCACTTGGTTTTTCTAAAAGCTCACGTGGAAGCTCATGAGCTTGGATGCTTGTGAGCTCTTACAGGCTCGACTACACGAAGACGGAATTTACAGACTGAAAAGCTGCTGAGGTCTGGGGTTTAGGGTTTAGGGCTTAGGGTTTAGGGTTGAGGGTTTTGGGATGACAGAAAAACCAAAAATTCAATTATGACCCCGCATAATATACGATATAGCAGCCTCCATTTGCTTTTCCGTTATCCCTACATAACCCCAGTATACTAGAGGAATCATGAGGTTCTATCAGGCTTAGAAACATCTATGTGGTCTCCCGGCACTCTTCCTTGTCACGCCTGAGAGGAAAAGAAGCCTGGTACTAGTTGCCGGGGTGGAGCGGCTGAGCGCAAAGCTGCAGCAACCCATGGTTGAGCGGCTGGGGTCCAGGATTTCAGGCCTAGAGTCTGGGGTTAGGGATGGCGGCCACAAGAAACTGGCGCACTAGAAACCTCTACTGACAAAGCAAGTCAGAGGGTGGCTCGGCTCCACCACTGTATGAGGAAGCAAACACCTTCTTGCTCCGTGGAATACTCAGGCCTAGAACTGTCACTAGCTTCGCCGGCGCAGGCTCGTAAAAGCAGTCCGAGGTCTAATGATTGAAGTTGACAAGTCTACCTTGCAAGAGGCCAAGGCCCAAGCCGGAGACCCAGTGCTTGTTCGTGGTGTAGCCGTTGCTGTCATACACGTCCTGCTCCGGGTTGAGCATGGCCGACATGCTGGTGATCTTCCTCAGAAGCAAGCGGCCATCCCGTCGTCTCGCATGTCTTGCAGTCGCTAACTTAGAGCCATTCTGTAGGTTTCCTCCAGAGAACAGCATAGACTGTTTTTTGGGTCCAATTTTGGCCAGCAAAACGTGCTGCTCCTGAAGTTTCCACATAGCCCTGCAGGAGCCTTGCTGAGGGCTTCTAGGCTAAGCTCAAAAAACAAACCTTCATGTGGAAGGTGAACTCTGCACATAGCTCTTGACGTCTCCACGAATCAACATCCACAAGCTTGCTCTCTCCAGCCACTGAACTTTAACCTATAGCCAAGCTGCGAGAAGCACTTCATCCAGTCGTACATGGTACCATTGGTCATGTTGGTCATGTTGTACATGTCCATGTCCATCTTCATCTTGAAGCCATCCTCCAAGTCCATCACCACCTTCCCAGGAATGTGAAGACTAGCAGTGATTACAGGGATGGTAGCTGCATGGTAGTTTCCACAAATGGGGAGCCCAGTATACACCCCAACATATGGTAGCCCTTCTGATAGGGACAAAAAAAGGGACCCCCAATTTTGGGCGACTTAGCCGAGCTAGCGCATTGTGGCCAATCCAGGATAAAACAGCAATACTTCAATTGACAAATCCAGGGCGTAGAAGGGGTTTACGGTTTAGGGTTAAGGGGATTCTTCTAGCTTTGCAAGGGGCCGGAGACCTGGACAGATGGCGACCCTGAAGCTCGCAACCCAAAGTGCCGACTGCCTTTCATTCCTGACCTTATACTAGCACTGATAATAACAAAAATAGTAATTTGAAAAAACCTACCTCCTCATATACCCCATTATAATATAGCAGTTTCCATTTTCTGTTCCATTATCCCCATTTCACCCCCAATATAACCCGTATTTCGACTCTCAAACTCCGGGACTTGCTGAGAATCAATACCTTGCTGCTCAAGATACAGAAGTGGCTAAAATTACCTACCCATTGGATTGACATTAGGGTTATATTGGGATAATGGAAAACAAAATGGAAAGTACTGTAGTAGATTGGGTTATAATTGAAAAAAGGAAAGGCGATATGGCAGTCATGCCTTAACGGTCTTTTGAGACCTTTCCTTCCCTTTGCACATAACTCTAAAGCCTCAACTCGCAGCTCTCAACCCTAAAACCCTCAACCCTATGAGCTTGCCGGGGGTCAGCAGGGAATAAGGGAATACAATCCGCATATAATCCCTGCATCATTTCCCACCATATATCCCCCTTTTTAAAGGCACCCCTCAATTTGGGAAACCTCAAAGCCATGAGCCAACTACCCTGAGCCTTTAGGTTGAGCCCCTGGATGCGCCTGGTGGGCCATCATGTCCTTGGACAAGTCCTTGCCTTGGGATATCCGACGACTAACAATATTGATGGAGTACTAACAGTTCTAAAAACGATAAGATGATAATAATAAGAAAAATAATGACAATAATAGTAAGCAGGACCATAAAAATAATGAACCTTAGGGACTACGGCCAAGGGTTACGGGTTTAGGGCTTGGGGTCGCAGAGTTTAGGGATTTGTTTCAGGCAAAAGGTTTCTGAGTTCAGAACTTAAGGCTCAAGCTTTCAGCATTAGGGATGAGGAAGGAACGGCTTGGGATCACTGATTTGTGCTTTGCTGGCAGCGGGTTTTGGCCAGCTCCTTTCATCGGGAAGGGTCCCCAGTGGTAGTCTCCCAAAATAATGTCTCAACATGATATAATCCCTTCCCCATATTAATAAAACCCACCCTATTTAAAAATAATAAATCCGGGAGCCTAAAAATTCCTCATGAGCATTGTAAAAGGGGC